GCCCCAGAGGGAGACCACAGCTGCGATACAAGGATATCTGCAAGCGGGATCTGAAGGCCTTAAGAATGGACCTCAACAGATGAGAAACCCTGACATCTGAGCGTTCAGCCTGGTGGCAGGCGGTGCATGACAACCTCTCCCAATTTGAAGAGACCCTTGCCCAGCAGAGCGAGGCAAAGAGGCAGTCCCGGAAGCAGCAAAATGAGGGAGCTGGACAGGGGACAGATCGTGTTTGTCTTCAGTGTAGAGCTGGGAATTGGTGGCCTGGCACTGGCCTGGCTCCGTTCCTTCTTGGGGACCACCCCCAGAGAGTGCAGCTTGGGGAGAATGTGTTGGCCCCATGGAGCCTCAATTGCGGGGTTCCACAGGGGTCGATCATCTCCCCAATGCTGTTTAACATCTATATGAGGCCGCTGGGTGGGGTCATTGGGGGGGCTTCGTGTCATCAATATGCTGATGACACCCAGCTCTACATCTCCTTTTCACCAACTGCAGGTGATGCTGTCCTGTCCCTTCAGCGCTGCCTGGAGGCCGTACTGAAATGGATGCAGGAGAACGGGCTGAGGATGAACCCGGATAAGACAGAGGTTCTGAGGGTGGATGCCCCCGTGGTTGGTGGCTTGGGTGACTCTCTCGTTTGGGGGAGTGATCCTGACCACAAAGAGTGGGGTTCGCAGCTTGGGCATTCATCTGGACCTGACGCTCACCATGGAAAAGCAGGTCGCGTCGGTAGTCCGCAACATGTTTTTCCATCTTTGGCGGATAGCCCAGCTGCAACCCTTTCTCGATATGGGGGCGCTCACTATCTTGGTGCATGCGCTCGTAATCTCAAGATTAGACCACTGTAAAGCGCTCAACGTGGGGCTGCCTTTGATGTTGATGTGGAAACTCCAAGTGGTGCAGAATGCGGCGGCCAGACTCCTGAGTGGAGCGAGAAAATACTAGCATACTTCTATTCTGGCCGCATTGCATTGGCTGCCCATTCAGTTCTTCGTTGACTTCAAAGTTTTAATACTTACTTACAAGGCCCTAAACAGTTTAGGACCTCGATATTTGGCAGAACGCCTACTCCCACCAAGGTCTACTCAGATCACCCGAGCGAGTCAGGAGGTGAGGCTGAGGAGCTTGACACCGAGGGAAGCCCAGAAGAAAAAAACACAAAATTGGGCCTTCTCGGAGGTAGCTCCTTGCCTCTGGAACAATCTCCCTCCGGAGATTCGCGCAGCCCCTACGCTGGGTATCTTTAAAAATGAATTAAAAACATGGATGTTTATTCAGGCCTTCCCTCCAGTCAATACTTGATCTTTCTTCTTTCTTTCTTCTTCTTTATTTATATTTTTTACTTTATTTTTCCTGTCTCGTAAATTGTTATGGAATTTATTTATGTAATAATTTTTGTGTTATTTTTGTTTGCTGTTTTATGTTGTATTGGAAGTCGCCTAGAGTGAAGACCAGATCAGATAGGCGGGATATGAATGAATGAATGAATGAATGAATGAATGAATGAATGAATGAATGAATGAATGAATGAATGAATAAATAAATAAATAAATAAATTATGTCTCTTTCAGATTCCAGGGAAGCTGCTGTTTTCTCTAGTGAAACGGTACCTGTGTGTTACCTCCCTCATGGACAAGCTTAACAGCACTACAGAATTAGGAGGGGAGCGTCAGGACTGTGCAGCCCCCAGTGCAAATTATGGGGAGAAAAGCCGACTGCAACGGGAATTTGATTTCAGCATGGCCATGGCTAACCTCATTTCAGAACTAGTGCGAGTCATGGGCTGGGACCGCAGCCAAGAGAGAGAGCTTCTTTCCTTGAGGGATACACAACCTCGAGTCATTCGTTCCATTTTCCAGCCCAAAGGCTCAACTTGCACTGCTGTTCAGGTGCCTCTAGTAACCCCAAAGCCTTCACCAAGGAAGAAGCAAGGTCGAGTATTTTTGACTTTGTCAGATTTCTCTAGTCGCAGCAGCTATGTAGAGTATGTGCAGGAGAACCTGAAGCCTGGGATGACTGTTCGAATGCTGGAAGACTATGAGGAGATCAGCGCTGGTGATGAGGGTGAATTTCACCAGAGCAATAGTGGAATGCCTCCAGTACAGGTATGTGTGTTGGGAATAGGACCAAAAATGAAACAAAATCCACAAATTCAGGAGGAGGTGGAAACAGAGAGCACTTGCTTGATATTTACTCCTATGGTTTACACCAGAAGTGGGCAATATCCAGACATCCATGGTCTGCATTTCCCTCTCTACAGGACTTGAAGGGCTTCACTTGACTTCTAATACAGTGGGTCCAACTTTTTTGATGCCAGGGACCGGGTGGTGGTGGCTGGTGTCCATGTGTGTGTGCGGGTGGGCATTTGTGCGTGCATGAGCGTGCATGCAGGAGATGGGTGGGCGTCTATCCGTGCATGCAGAGTGGTGGTGGCTGGTGTCCATGTGTGTGTGCGGTTGGGCATCTGTGCGTGCATGGGTGTGCATGCAGGAGGTGGGTGGGCGTCTATCTGTGCATGCAGAGTGTGTGTGCATGTGTGCATGTATGTGGGAGCACACATGCACATTGCTTTGGCCCTCAAAAATCAATAATACTCTTTATAATCTATGAACATCTATTTCAGGCTTTGTGTTTTCTGGGAATGCTTATATACAGTTGTAGTATTGTAATGGTTAACTAACATTTGAAGCCACTGTAGATGTTTTCCTTGACTCTATGATCAGACTTTTGATTACTGGCTTGGGGACTGTACTAGATTTGAAAAGGTATTTTTAACAAATGACACCTATCTTTCTTTGATGGATAGGAAGCCTGCAGGCCAGGTAGGTTTTTGCTGTCTGATAATTTTCCTGGTCACCATTTGTATATGTTCAGTAGGCTTGGAAAAGAATCACAGTGGCTACGTTACTGAGTCTGCTGCTTGATAGTAAGAAGTCCTAAAAATGAATTGCTGTTTTAGTGCTTCCAGTGGTGAAGATTCTACTGCTTCATATATTTTTCAAGTGGATCCAGTGTTGGCTATAAAACTGTACTCAGGGGTCTCTTCTCAAACTAGGGGAGGGCAGAGTATTATAGAACTTAGTCTTGGGCCTGCTGTTCTTCAGCATTTTTATTAAAGAATTGGATGAGTTTGTGTACGGAATGTTTATCAAATTTGCAGATGATGCAGATGGCATGGAACAGGTTTAGAGGAGGGCAACAGTGATGATTGATGACTGGAAACCCTAAGAGGAAAGACTGAAAGTTCTGGGTATGTTTAGCTTTGAGGAAAAAAAGACTGTGAAGAGATAGGATAGCATTCTTCAAATACTTGGAAGGTTGTCATACAGTAGAGGGGCAGGATCTGTTCTCAGTCATCACAGAGTTCAGGACATGTAATAAAAGGCTCAAAATACAGGAAGCCAGATTTCAGCTGAATATCAAGAAAAACTTTTAAACTGTTAGAATAGTTTGACAAGAGAACCAATTACCTCAGGAGGTGGTGAGCTCTCCAACACTAGAGGCATGTACAAGAAAGCTTAGACAGTCATCTGCCTATACTTTAACTTTTAATTTAAGATTCCTGCACTGAGCGGGATGGCAGGGTGGATAAAAGTCAGTGATCAAAAATCAAAATCAATTTTTAATCATAAAAAATTCTGACATTTTAAATTTAAATTGTAATTTGAATCTGCTCTGCTTGATGGCCTTGCAGGGTTCATTATTTTATGATTCGGTGATTTTTGGTTCATTGGTGCAACCCTCTTTTACAGCCCTAAGTACCCTGACTTTATTCATTTCCTGCTGTAATCTTTCACATAATGGATATTTAGTTGTAGCTCTTTTGGAGAAAAATTATTTTCTTTTCCTTTTGGGAAATGCTCCTTTCCAAAGTGTCCTTCCTTTTTGTGTACTTATTTTTTAAACTGATAACTTCCCCCTGCTCCACCATCTTGTTGCCATGTACTGATAACTTCCCCCTGCTCCACCATCTTCTTGCCATGTGAAAAAATAGATGATACCAATGTGCAACCAAGACTGATATATTATTCAAGCTAGTACCTTGATGACAGGCTAAATTTTCCTTGTCTTGCTTACTTGGCAAGGTAGAAGCTATTTTGGCTTCAAGGTAGAAGCTATTTTTGTGAAATCCAAACACTTTAAAGGGATAACAGGTTCAAAGTGATCCATTAAATCTATAATTGAATCTTACTATCTTTATGGAAGTAACATTTATAAACATAAGACATGAACAAATGTGCCCTATGGGAGTTGACTGGCGATGCATTTGTGAGGTGAATGCTCCTTGTGTTAGTAGAGTGATTTAAAATGTTCAGCCTTGTAGCCTAGTACTCCGCTTTCCTGAGGAATTGGGGAGTTGGCTTTTGAGTACTGAAAGATCTTGCTTAAAAAGGAGACTGCTACATAGCAGTGGAGCTTAGAGAGGGGCTTCTGTAAGACCCTCTGTGAGCTGAATGGGGAACCTTTACAGCCTGGAGGTTCTCTCCCCTGATCTGAATGGGTGTCAGTAGATGATACCAATGTGCAACCAAGACTGATATATTATTCAAGCTAGTACCTTGATTTCAGGCTAAATTTTCCTTGTCTTGCTTACTTGGCAAGGTAGAAGCTATTTTGGCTTCAAGGTAGAAGCTATTTTTGTGAAATCCAAACACTTTAAAGGGTTAACAGGTTCAAAGTGATCCATTAAATCTATAATTGAATCTTACTATATTTATGGAAGTAACATTTATAAACATAAGACATGAACAAATGTGCCCTATGGGAGTTGACTGGCGATGCATTTGTGAGGTGAATGCTCCTTGTGTTAGTAGAGTGATTTAAAATGTTCAGCCTTGTAGCCTAGTACTCCGCTTTCCTGAGGAATTGGGGAGTTGGCTTTTGAGTACTGAAAGATCTTGCTTAAAAAGGAGACTGCTACATAGCAGTGGAGCTTAGAGAGGGGCTTCTGTAAGACCCTCTGTGAGCTGAATGGGGAACCTTTACAGCCTGGAGGTTCTCTCCCCTGATCTGAATGGGTGTCAGGCTGATCCAGCAAGACAGTTTTTACAGCCTATGTGGACTATGTTTCATGTAAAACTTGACTATTCTTCACAATTAAAAATGTAAACCTTGCAAAGGGTTGCCGTAAGTCAGAACTGACTTGAAGGCACACAGTTAATCAGGTCCCACACCCTAATCCTGATTCTATCTCTCCCACTTCCAAATGCTTTCACATTGGTCTTATTCTTTGCTCTCTGTACTCATCCAACTTTTTCCTCACGTTAAAAATCCCTTTGTCCTCTTCCCTTCAGGGCTGTTTCTCTTCCTGCCTGCCCCATTCTTTTCTTTTCTTTTCTTTTTTTTTTTTGGTCTGTGATCTTTCTCTCCATTTTCATACTTACACAATCTTCCCCTTTGCTAACTCTCCCCAGCAGTCTTACCAGGCCCTATCAGTTTTTCTTTTTTTTTTTTTTTTTTTTTGCTCTCTTTGGGTTGCCATATTCTAGTTCTTCAAATCCAGCCGGTCACATAGGAAAATTGTGGCATTAGTTCAATATGCACATTGTTGATTCATTTTGGTAGCTTGTGAAAAGATTGACCAACACTTGTGCAAGCACAAAGCTGAGTGCTGTATTCCCATTAAAGAGCATTTCTTTCCATGTTGTTTTATGGTTAGGAAACAAAGGATTTGTTTTTCTTGGATTCTTTGCTTGTAACTAGAGCTTGCTGCCCAAGGTGTTCTGTGCTGCCCCATTGCCACTTTTCTTTAACCGCCTTTTTTTTTTTGGTAGGGCTCCTGTAACCTCTAAGTGTTGCAGATACTCAGCTCTGTAACTTTCCCAGAAATAGGAATTCTGCAACATTTCAGATCTTGCTTCATTCTTGTGAAATTATCTGACTGAATCTATGTTTAACTTCATGTCCACATGCCACCTACAACATGGGAGCAATCATACTGACCTGATTATTGACCTAATAAGGAAAAATTGCATTGCAAGCTCGAATAAATACAAATCAGAGCATGGAATATTTTCTTGTGGTTGTTGTAGGTTTTTTGGGCTGTTTGACCATGTTCTGGAGGTCTCTGTGGCCAGCCTCTTCAGAGGACAGGAGTTAGAACTCTGTCTGTGTTCTGGTGTAGTGTATGGGATAGCGAAGGACACAGAGTTCTAACTCCTGTCCTCTGAAGATGCAGTCCACAGAGACTGGCGAAATGTTAGGAGGAAAAACCTCCAGAACACGGCCAAACAGCCTAAAAAACCTATAAAAACCATTGGATCCGGGCTGTGAAAGTCTTCGAGAATACGAAGATTTTCTTCTTTGGCATTTAACTCCCAGATGCTCTCAATCAGCGTGGTTTAGAAAAATATTTTTTTTCCAGCTGTACAAAAAACAACAACAACCTTCCATCTCCCAACACATAACACTTCTGAAATTTTAATTATGTGTATTAGTGATGGTGCCGTGTGTTATCGAGTCAATTCTGACATGGTGACCATTTTCACGGTTTTCCAGGTAGAGATTATTCATTTACCATTCTATTCTATTCTTCCGGAGGTATTCTGTGCCTGTGCAGCTTGCCCAAGGCCACACAGGCTGGCTCCTCTAGGATCCACAAGGGGGATTGAACTCCCAACCTCTGGCTCCACAGTTAGATATCTAACTCACTGAGCTATCCATCTAGTTATTAGTGATACTCCCAACCTCTGGCTCCATAGTTAGATATCCAACTCACTGAGCTATCCATCTAAACGACTAAACGAATGAACGAACTATCCATCTACAGTAGTTATTAGTGAAGGTACTTGGTAATAATAGCAGTGACAGATGACACCTTCCTGGACTACTTTTTGTTTGGGGAAGCAACTGGTTTTAGTTTTTAAAAATGGAGCTGAGGACTAGTTGTGTCTGAATGTGTCATTTCCACTCTTGATATAAAGTTTGTATCTTTAAAAAAGGTACATTAATTGTATGAAACAGTAGATGTCTGAGAACCATGAGATGAATTTGCATACAACCCCAAATCAAAGCTAAAACTCTAACCTCTACCCCTGCAGGTGATGACACTCTTACTGCACTGATGGAATGCTGGCTATTAATTTTTTTTCCGTACAATTGTTTG